TGCGGCGCGACAAATTCATAGAGACGGTGACGTACACTCACTACCTCGCAGTAGATTGCGCCAAGGCAAATAAAAATTGAAACCAAGAGGGGACTTGGCTGTCAACAATACTTGACCACTGAAAAAGAGACTTACCATCCTAGTATGCCCCAAAGGTACACTACTTTCAGATGGCCATTCTCCATGCAAGCATTCGCGAAGAAGCAACTGCACTATCTGAATCAAGTAATCGCATGGTATGTTTCCAACCATTGACAATGTCGCTGCACACCTGTTGAGTCCGTTCATTACTAGTTGGTGGTGAGTAATGCGGTTTAGATGAGGTAGAAACCATCAACGTCCCATCGAGTCTCGCAGACTTCTCCATAGTGTTCACAAATATGGATGGACACCTGAATATGGCCATGGTAACTGATAAGAGCCTAAAAGGTTGATAACCAATATTCACCTTGTCGAAAGTGGAGCCAGTTTATTGAGCGTTTCACACCAATCTTTTGGTTTTGTCTCAGACATACCAAGGTACTCGGAAAGAGGCGTGGATTGAACCGGATTTGTCACAACCCTGACACTTTTCTCCATCACCTGCAAAAATTCAAGATCTAGCTATTTTCGTCAACGAGACCTACACTTCAATAAGAAAACGGAAAAATTTTCATACAATAAAGACACGGAATTTCTAAAATCTGTAGGAATACCTGAGCCATCATGTTTTCATCATCGATGCATTGCCTAATGATAAGCGATGTCAAAACGGAAGTCGATGGTGTGGTAGAGCATCGCAATTGCAAGAGCGCCGGGATTCCTCCTTGCTAAAAACAAATTTGAGAGGAAGTTCGAAGAAAATTGCCTGATAAAAAAGTCAAATCTGATTACCTGTATGAAATTGACAGCACAGTTAGAATCCCTCGTTAGTCTTGCAACGAAAGCAAGAATCGTATGAGCAGCTGTGTGATGAATCAACGATTTATGGAGTAGGCTTACTACCATAACCAGCAAACGCGATGTTTCAGCTGTAGTCCAGATAGACTCTCTCTCCTTCAAAAAAATATTACATGAAAAAATCATAGGGGGAAAAAATAGGGACTCACTGATTTTTTCAATGTTTCGATGTCAATCTCAGCGCCATCCGGTAATTCAGCGAAAACAGCTTGATTACAAGCAAGACCATCTCTTTGCCTCATTAGGGAGAAGTCCACGGTAAAATCTTTTTCTTTCCTTCAATGCAA